ACCAAGTGATGTTGTGAAGAATACGTTCCCCTGGGCCAGCGTGGCGTTAATTTAGCTTCACTTTAAGGGTAAAACATAACAGGTGGGGATAACTAGACGAGTCCAACCATTCTGCTAAACCAAGGCTCGGACAAAAGTAACTCAGCCAACACTGTGAGCTCACTAAGCACTTTAAGTCATGTGCTTTTACTTATATATTTATTTATAAGAACTATTTATTTGGGGCAGCCCGGGTGGCCCAGCGGTTTAGCACTGCCTTCAGCCCAGGGTGTGATCCTGGGGACCTGGGATCGAGTTCCACGTGGGGCTCCCTGCATGGAGCCTGCTTCTCCCTCTGCCTGGGTCTCTGCCTCTCTCTGTGTGTCATGAATAAATAAAATCTTAAAAAAAATTAAAAAATGCTATTTATTTGAAAGAGAGAGCATGAGAGTGCGTGCACATGTGAAGCTGGGGGGGGGCGGAGGGAGAGGGAGGAGAGACTCTCAAGCAGACTCCCCGCTGAGCGTGGAGCCCCTGTTGGGCTCCACCCCAGGACCCCCAGATCATGACCTGAGCCAAAACCAGGACTCAGACACTCAACGGACTGAACTACCCGGGCGCCCCTAAGTCAGGTGTTTTCAAAATTATGATTGCTCTTCACCCTGATGTTAAGATTTAATCTATAGCAGCATTTCTAGAAATGCTTCTCAAGGGAATAGAAAAATCATCTCACGGATAACTTCAACTGGGGGGATGCGGAAGTAAAAGAAAAACTACATAGGGTTTTTTGTTGTTGTTGTTCTGTTTTTAATCGGAGGACTTCTCAGACCCTTTGTTATGCCTAGGCACGTTGGGACTCTCCTGGCTGTCTACTTCAGAATAGGGAAAAGCATTTCTCAAAGGAGCTAACAATGCTTTTGTTTTCTTGGGCCATCTCGTGGAGCTAGTATTCGTGAGATATCGTTTGGGTTGCGGGTGTGTACACATTACATATAAAGTCTTTTGATCTGGGATGTCTGTGCAGCAGTCGAGTATGAAGAAGTAGCTGTGGGGTTGTGCTATATGATCAGTCTACCGGGAAGCACATCACAGGGCCCCATGTGTCACTTAATCCACGCTGAGTAACGTGTATATATATATTTAACAAGAAGGATCCACACCAAGTGACAGCACTTATATCCGCATGGCGGGATTACAAGTTACTTTTATTTCTTTCTTACGCTTATCTGCATTTTGTAAGTGTTCTGCAAGGAACACATGTGTCTCCGGCCAGAGGGAAGAGCCATTCTTTATTGGGTAATCAGTGCTGTGGCATCTATTTGCAAGAGTGCCGCTCCTCTGGGGATTAACTGCGGGGGCCCATCTTCGCTAATGACTTAAACAAAAGAAGGGAGGTTGTGCTCATCAAATCCTCACATGATACTAAATTTGGTGGGGTGGCTCACACTCAGAAAGCCAAGAATAAAATTCAAAACAACCGTGACAAATTGAAAACACGGCTCTAAAAAACCAGATGAAATTCAATAGTACAATTATAAGGTGATAGATTTAGGGCTAAAAGCAGCCACCATATGTCGAGGATAAAGACAGGACCGGCTTCCAGCCGGTCTCGACTACCAGGTGAGCCCCTGCAAGGTGTTTGATCCTGAGCTACGATTTGGGGCCAGACACAGACAGGTTTAGGAGAAAAAGGTCTCGTGGGGATTACTGTCCGCAAGCTTAGGAAAAATGAGCAAGATCGTCCCTGCAATCCTATTTTCTATATGCAAAATCCTAACAGAGTGGTCTGGCGTGCAGTCTAGCTCTTGGTTCACAAAAGGGAAAGGTCTTTGAGATCAGGACAACCCTCCCACTCTAGAACTGTGCCCTCACTACATCAGGATGTCATCTCTTCCTTGCCAGGCTAGGGGAACATTTAAATGTCACATCTACATGTAAGAGCATATGTGGTGTTCTCACCATAGCATCTTTGCTGCATGCATTTTTGCCACATAACTCATTGGCTGAAGGGCCCTCTTGCTGTAAAAGAGAAAACCACGACGAAGACGAATGAAAGATGGACATTCATTTAAAAAGGAACCCAATGAAACATAAAAAAAAAACGAATAATGAATAAAATTAAAAAGACTTTATTGCAAAATGCGAAATATTTGAATACGTTTCAAGTGTGTGTAGACTCGTGGCAAAACTGTACAAATAATGGATTGTGTTTTGTGTCCTTATCTTCAAAGTTTTCGTTCATAGTATTATACTTTTTTTTTCTGCTTCTTGATGGGTCTCCTCATTCTGTTTTTTGCTAAACTTTCTTCCTTCATTAAGAGAAGGATCAGCTTCCTAATGCTAGGATGCAACGGAACTTTATACTATGTTGTGAAAGCGTGTTGCCTCCTACACTGCTGTTTGTTCTTGGCGTATTGGCACATGTCTGTTGGAAGCTGTTCCAAAGTTCTATGGGAAACGTGGGTTCAGAGTCCTGCTCTGCTGCATAGACCATCACGAGGGCTGAGATGTATATAATATGAAAACGAGAGTAGCATGGCAAGGAGAAATGAAACCAAACTGCCCACCGGTGGATGAAACCAACTGTCAAACCGGTTACTTTTTTTTTTTTAATCATTTATGGCAAAATTGCCTTATGGCCAGTTAGTTAAGAGACGAAAACGCTTGTGGCAAAGATGCTTTTGGCAAAATTACCTAGAACTGCAGAAGAGACACCGTGGGACCTGCGGCGGGGAAGCAGAAAAGTTAGAACTTCTGGGACATTTTGCTGGTTTATGGGGACAAATAGAATAGTTGCAATCTGAACCATCTCCAGAAAGCCCGTCCCGGAAAATCCAGGGCATCTGGTCGTAGTCAACAGAGCGCCTTGCCTTCTTCAAAGCCGCTGGATTCCGTACACATGAAAGGCCCGTGACGTGCCCCGGCCCCCAAGTCATCCCCCATCACGGGGCCGCGTTAGTCAGCTCCTCATTAGACTGCTGGGTTGAGTCTGTGTCACCCCTCCTGGAAGGGCTGGGAGAGGCTGGAGGGTGTCCTGGCAGGAGCCACAGAAATGATCAAAGCAGTGGAAACGGGGCTCTGTGAAGCAAGGTTAAAGGAATTGGAACTATTTTGCCTGGAAAAAGCCAGGGACAATCTGAAAAACCCAACTCCAGAAAGGAACTACACAAACCCCATGTCAGCCTTGACTCTCCTGCCCTCTGCAGCTTTCCTCCGAAGGGGCGACGGGCCGGCCCTCGCGATCGCTCACAGAGACGGTGCACTTGTCATGCTCTGGGCTTTCTGCTGAAGAGCTTTGCATGCTTATCTTGTGTCCTTGGCACCACGGTCCTGCGATGGCCCTGCCTTCGGATGAGGCCTGGCAGGAAAGTTACGGGAGGCGTTTGAGTTTGGGGCGCTGGTGAACCGCGGCCGTGGGCTTCGTGCTCAGCCAGGCCGTCGGGTGCCGAGTCAGACTACTTTCCAACAGCAAATCTTCTGGATGGTGCCATTTACGAGAGCATCCTCGTCTCCCGTTGGACAGCAGGAAGCTTGTAAGGTAATTGCTAACGATTGCTAATAAAACTTGTCAAATGACTAAGGCACTAAGCTGTCGGCAGATGTGGTTTCGACAAATGCGTCTTAAACAACAGAACACAACCACCTCCCCCTCGACGTGTGTCCCCTTCTGAAGTCCTATGTCGAAGTCCTCATCTCCCAGACCTCAGCTGGTGACCGGGTTCGGAAAGGGGGTCTTTAGAGAGGGAATGAACGTAAAAAGTGATCCTTAGGATGGGCTCCAATCCCACATGACTGGTGTCCTCTGAGAAGAAGAGATTAGGGCCTGGATACACTCACGGGGCAAGGACCATGTGAGGACCTGGGGAGAGGATGACCATCTGCAAACCAAGGAGAGGGGCTTCCCAGGAAACCAACCCTGTGCACACCTGGATCGTGGACTTCTCGCCTCCAGAAATGTGAGCACATAAATTTCTGTTGTTTGCACTCTGAGCCTGTGGTCCTCTGTCGTGGAAGTGCAAGCAAAGCTAACAGACACTTCGGGAAATCCTTCAACCCTTCAGAAGAGAAAGGCGAGTCTTGGAGGGGACTCGTAACTTGCTCACCGTCACGCAGGGCACTAGAGGCAGGGAGAGATTTGAGCCCCTTTCTTAGGACCTGGAATCCTGTGTTCCTTTCAGTACCTACCAGGACCAGGTGGGAAGAAAAAAGAGAAAACCCACCAAATATTGGAGGTCAAACCTCGGCTGCTATAGGCTGTATTTTGATTCCACATCTCAGCAAGCGCGGGCCTTCCCACCCTCAACATGGATTTGCAAAGAGTTTTAATAGTGAGGTGAACCGGGGAGGAGGGTGTGGGGTGACCAGGCTGACTGCAAAACAAACAGGCAGAGGACCTGGCAAGGTGCTCTTAAAACGCAAGTCTGAAAAAGCTTTGCCGGCCCCTCGGGGGGATAATAAAATGGATCAGAGTGTGGAAACACAAATCCAGGCCATCTTGAACTCTAGTGAAGTTCTTGCAGATCAAAGAACACGCTGGCTATCATCCTGCCAGGGAAAATGTGGAATGAGACCTTCATAATTAGACCTCTGCTTAAGTGCCGGGGAATGATTACCACTGAATAAATAAAAATAGAGGATTAAGCTCCACGGGCCCCAGCGTGGGGTCCCTCGGCCAAGTGAGAGATGGGGCTTGCAGGGGAGACCTGGGGGGCTCCAAGGGGTGCCCAAAGACAATTGGGATCTGGCTTCCCCGAAAGGAACCTGGTTTCTGGGTGGGGAAGTAGCATTGGAGGGAGTTGGGGGATTTGTGCATGGAACCTGGGCCAGAGCCACTGAGTCCTCCCATTCCCACCCCGGGCAAAGCTTACACATGACGTCACGATGGCCACCGCCTATGACACATGCTGTGGCTACCAAGTGCTTTATATCTGTTTTATTTTGAGGCAACACCAACATTCCAAGATAGCCTTATTTTACAGCAGAAGAAACAGAAGCACAGGGAGGTCAAGTAACCAACCAGAGGTCACACAGCTCATAAATGGCCAACTCAAGTCTTAAACCCTGGTCCACCCTATTCCGAGCCCCACCCCACCCCTCTCCAAATCATTGGGTTTTCTTCCAACTCCCTGCCTTCTGTTTGCTTTTCAGTCTTCGCAGCATTCGGCATGGTGCTCTGTACCAAGTTTTGGGGGCCCAATTCGTTGGATCAGCTGACAGCCATGGTGAAACACAGACCAAAGGATCTTTCCTCTCCCCCTTGGACCAAAGTATTATTGAGAGTTTCTCCAAGGATCTGTGGTGACACACCGTTGCTCAAAGAAAGCTTCTGCGCTCAGATAGGAGTGGGAACTATACGTATTACGGGGTCCTCTCTGAGAACCACAAAGCACAATGGCACATGAGAGTCATGCACAGAGATGCCTCTGTCCCCCTGTGTCCTCAGGGCCCAGCCCAGCACCTGACTCCAAAGGAGCTCAGTAAATACTTATTTGCTGAATATGAGGGAATGAATGAATGGCCATTGTACGGAAACCCGTCCACTTGGTTTAACACCGCACCTTGGCCTGCTTGGGCTGTCGTAACAAGATGTCATAAACTGAGCAGCTTAAAAATCAGAAATCAATTTGCTCACAGTTCTGGAGGCTGGAAGTCTAAGATCATGGTGCCGGTAGGGCCGGCGTCTTGTGAGGTCTTACCTCTTGGGTTGAAGACAACTACCTTCCATCTAGGGCCTCACCTGGCCTTTCCTCAGTGCGTGTGTTGTGAGAGACAGAGAGAGAATGAGAGAGAGATCCTCTCTGGTATCTCTTCTTATTTTATTTTATTTTTTTTATGGTATCTCTTCTTAGAAAGACACTAATCCTATCAGATCAGGACCCTAACCTTATCACCACGTTTAACCTCGATTACTTCCTTAGAGGCTCCATCTCCAAATACAGCCACCCTGGGGCTGGGGACCTCAATGTATGAATTTGGGGTGGACATGAATATTTAGTCCATAACACCCAGGATCTCAATATTACCTACCTAGAAAATTCTTTTTTGGTGTATGACACCATAGTCTGGTATTAAAGAACGTATATATTTCCAGAAAGGCCGGTAGCCGTGAACGCCGTCTGATGGGAGACCCCGATGACTGGAGTGGCCCCCACTGAGCAGGGTTCTGGCACGTGTCTCAGTCTCGGTGGCAGACGTGGAGACAGAGAGGTGGACGGGCGGGGGCTTTAGAGAGGACGTTCGCTTATGTTGTGGAAGCTGTTTGGGGTGTTGGGGGATAGAAGCAAACAATGGCTGTGAGACCGGCTTGGCTGGGAGGACACAGGCCAAGTTCAGGGGCATTCCTGGGTCAAACTTGAGGTAGTATTTTGGCAAGAGCAGTTTCTGCCTGAAGCTGAGGTGGGCGTGAGGCCTAGAGAGTGTCTTAGACCATTTGAACTGCTCTCACAAAAATACCACAGATGGGGGCTGAAACAACAAACAGTTATTTCTCAGAGTTCTGGAGGCTGGTACCTCTGAGATCAAAGTGCTGGCAGGTTCAGTGTCTGGTGAGGGCCCGCTTCCTGGTTCATAGACACCGTCTTCTGGCTGTGTGCCCACCTAGGGGTGGAGTGGAGAAGAACTCTCAGTAGTTTTTTCTTATAAGGGCACTAACCCCATCACGAGGACCCCACCTTTGTGACCTAATTACCTCCCCAAGATGCACCTCCAAATGCCATCCCATTAGGTCTTAGGACCACAGACATGTAGCCTCTAACGCCGAGGTCAGAAAAGATCCTGTTTCGTTTTGTTTTCCCTTAGAAATTGAGAGCAGAGAAAGAATGAGACAGAGACTGCCGATTGCCCATGCTCAGCCTGGCATAGAGGGAGGTATAAAATGACCTGATCAAGACGTGTTCCCCCTCCAATCCTCCCAGAGATGAAGGCAGGAGGGCAGCAAAGAATCTAATGAGAAGGAGGGGGCATCAGTCAGTGCCTGCCATCAGTGTGCCCAGCCCGTGGAGGGACGGCGGGTCTCTGCGCCAACAGACAGACGTGAGGGCAGAGGAGCTGGACCGGTTGGCAGGACAAGGGCCCAACGCTGGGTCAACCGGGTGGACGATGCAGGTGCCTCTGAGCTACAAGGGCTAGAGTCCCTGGGGGCTTGCGTGTCTGGGCTGCTGCTCCCTGGGGTGTGGCAGCCCCAAGACAACTCCCCTCTGAAAGTCCAGGGGGTTCCCGTCCTGCTTCGGTGAGGTTGACTTCCCAAGGCCTGTCCTGTCCTCAGAACTTCATCCACCGAGGGAACCTCTGTAAGTTCCCTTCAACAGGGGCAGGCGGTTCCATGATGCTGATGGGATCAAGGGAGGTTAGAGCCCCTCTGCCAGGAAGCCATAAGGTCTGGCTCCACGGGGAGGAGGAAAACACACCGGGCCTCCTTGTCTCCAGAGCTGGAGCCGGGTCCTGTTGGGCCCACGGTCTCACGGCAGTCACTTTGGAATATCTTTGTTCCATTCATGGGCCTCTAATGGAATCAAGACCAGGCTATTTATATTTACAGATGGTGCAAACTTTAGAGGAACATCAAATGCACCAGATGTTGTTAGGACAGAGGAAAATTAGTGAACTTGGCTGATAGAAATCAAAGAGCCCCCCGGAGAAGGCTTTCTGGGCCCGAGATGCATGAGGCTCTGAAGAGGCAGATGATAAGAAATGTGGGGATGTGAGACCCACTGGATTCAGTGCTGCTTCTGCAACCCGGGGAGGAGAGTTTCTTCGAGCTTGTTTTGCTGGGGGAAAAAAATGCAGTCATTGTCTGTTCCCATTGTTCCTTCCGAGCCTACGCGGGGGACCCGAGCAGCAGGCGGTTCATCTCCAATTATTTTCAGCCAAGGGAAAAAACAGATGGTAAATAGCACTGAAAAAAAATTTTTTTAGAATTAATATTAATAAAAGATGTGTTGGAGGCTCTGACTGAATCCTGGGGAACCAAAGCCCGCCCTGTGTGCGGGGTGGGGGGGAAGGAGGTGGAGGTAGCGGGGAGCCTGGGAGGTGGGGGGGGGCGGGACGTGGCTGCAGAGTCAGAACAGGCAACCGCTCCCCAAGTGAGTGCTAAGGTGCCAGGGTGTGGTGTGGGTGGCGGGGCACCCTTGGGCGCCCAGCATCTGGAGGGGGCTGGAGCCTGGACGCCACGAAGCGCCTGTCGAGGCTCTGAGCTCCGTGGGGGAGGAGGGCGGGGCGGGGGGCCTAGGCAGAGGGTTGCCTGCCTGGAGCTCGTGAGGCACACTGGCGCCACTGGACCCCCTTCCCGCCGGGTGTGGCCCAGATGGCTCTTTTGTGCAGCTGCAGCACACAGAGGAGGCGGGCGGGTGTCCTCACCTCCCTGGTCAGCGCTGGCCTCTGTCCCCGGGCCCGCGCAGCCAGCTCCAATGTCCATCTGTCAGCAAGTGTCCACCAGCTGTCCAGCTGTCCTCAGAGAGTTTGGATTCCACATTCGAGCAAAGAAGGGGGTGGGAGCTACATTGCTGTCTCCTTCAGGATCTGTAGACTTTGCAGGGGAGACACAAGTGACCCGCTGTAGGATGCGCGTGCAGGGCAGGGTAGGGGGAAGCAGGTTCCTGGGGACACTCATTTATTCAACAAAAGTTTTTGAGCACTCATCAGGTGCTTGGGATTGTGCTAGGCCCTAGAGAAACACTTGGGGAACACACAGGTGGGGTCCCTGCCCTCCGGGAGCTTACATCCAGCAAGAGGGAAGCAGTAGTCAACTGTGTACACAAGAATACGTGAGACACTGTTAATTTAAGTCAACACATGTAAAATGACAAATGGTGACAGTGCTGTGAAAAAAATAACTGGAATGTCATAGGAGCTACACAGGGGCATCTATGTAGTAGTTGTTTACCAGGGTCTCAGAGTCTTCTCCTAGCTTCTGCCTCCTTGGGGATATGAGGATGGAGAGGAAGCCAAGAACAGAGTATGTGCCACGATCGCAAACTAAAGACATTAGCGTGAAAAAAACAAATCCTACCTTCCAAGACAGAAACCCCCATGTGGGACCACCCCATTGCCATGTCTATCCGCTCTTGTTTCCTTGTTTTGGCCTCTACAAAGCTCAAGGTGAGAGCATGGTTGACTACAGTTGTATTGGAAGTCATGAGATGTCTCTAACGAAGGACTCTTGCCCCAGCTTTGGGTTTTCATTCCTTGCCTTGTGTTCTCTCTGTTTCATTTCCTTCACCTGATATTTTATTCATAAAAAATTTTTAATCCGTATTTTATCTTCCTCTATATGTGTGGCTTTTTTGTACATTGTTTGAAATCCTTTCTGAAACCCAGTGGAGAGTATATAAACAAGACGGGAGGGACATTGATAAGGTTCAGTTGAGACCTAAAAGTCATCCTTGCTTTCTGTGATTCTTGATGGAGCAGAGACAGAAGCAGCAGGAAAAACGTTGCTATAATGAACATTATTGGGACAATCGATGACACTGGAAGGCAGACTGTAGATTAGATAAAAAAGCATTGTCTTCATGGAAATTTCCACTAAATGGGGAAAAAATAAAAGAGGAAGAGAAACCAGGAGAGACTCTGGACTCTGGGAAACACACCAAGGGTCACTGGAGGGGTGGTGGGGGCGGTGATGGGCATCAAGGTGGGCACGTGATGTGATAAACACCGGGTGTTATACCACATGTGGGTAAATCGAATTTAAATTAAAAAAAAAAAGAAATTTCCTGAGTTTGGTAATTCACTGTGGTTATATAAAAGAAGGTTTATTCTTGCTCTTAGGAAATGCACACTAAAACGGGATACAAGGGTATGATATCTGCAACCTACCCTCAAATGGTCCAGATGAGGGGAGAAACAAGTATATATATTTCTATACACATATATACACACTTATATACTTATATGTACACATAAACACATAAAATAAGAGGAGAAGAGGGATTACAAAATATTACAATCTCACATTTGAAAAATGAAAGCACTTGCACTTCCAAAGGGAATTTGCTTCACAGTTTTAATTATAGTGGTTGGCCTCCTAAAAGGGAATCTCAAAAAACAACTCTATGTCCCTTCAATGCTTCCTCTTCTTGCTGCCTGTCTCCTGTCCGCCCCCCCCCAACAGAAACAAAAACCTCTCCTCCCCCCCCCAGAATGCTACAAGAAGACTGAATTTTAGAACAGTTCTGGAAAGAACTGTTTCTGGATAATCAGACACGGTGTGCATTTGCCTCTGGCGTTGGTGGAGATCTAAAACTCCCATCTGGGTCGTCAGCAAGTGCTTATGCTTTTAAGCATCCTCTTTCAGAGGCTTTTCTTAATCCACTGGAGAAACACCTCAACATTTCTCATCCACCCCTGACTTTTTGTCATTTGTGATGCAACCACTTTGGGCTTCAGAAGAGAGAGTGTTGCCAGCAAAGGTTAATCACAGACTTTCTAGAATCAGAAATAAGTACTTTCCATTGGCTCGGCTGCAGCCTCTGCCTGGCTGGAAGTCACCTCCAGCCCAGTCCCACCTCACATCTCACTCGAACTCTTGTTAAGGTGACCTTGGTCGAAAGCACTGGAAGACTGGCGAGCACCAACCTGTAATCGTTGTTCAAGAAAACACAGGCAGGGTGCTCCAGACCTCCTTTCCACCCTGCGCTCCCTTTCCTGAGGCATCAAGATTACAAGGAAATAGCCCCTTTAAGAGGAGTCTTTAGTTCTGGCAACATTGTCATCCTCCTCCAAGAAACCACAGTCTTCAGATCACAGAGCAAACGCCTCCCCCCCATCTCTGGTGCCTTCAGGGCTGGTTCCCAGTTGAAGGACTTAGGGCTGCATCTGCCAATGGGATGGGCCACACCTGTCTCCTTAGCAAAGGCTCAGGGCCTTTCTATTTATCTGCCTTCCTCTTACCACTGACCCTCTCCCCTTCTACAGACGTCCTGCTTGTCTGCACCTGCCAGGTGAGCAGTAGGTGGGATCTCCCATTCTCTGGTTCTTCTCTCCACATCCCCGAGTCACAGAAAAGGCTATCAGGCCTGCCTGTTTAGTCCAAAACCAACTCCCGAGTGATCGGGGGTCAACAAGGAGTCACGTCCTCCAAGTCGTAGGTCTCCAGGCAGGAGGGGGGAGAGAAAATGTGGTGGTTGCGGGAAGACCATTCCTGAATTAAAGGGTGCTATGGGCCTAGAGAAGTGATATGACTTTCCTCGCGGCACCAAGAGTGGCAGTTTACCCCCATCGCCCATTATTTTGCTTTTTTCCAGCTCTCTTCTTCAAACCCTCTCATTCACCCAGATCAAAGGGGTTTTCAGACTCTGACTCTTTCATCCTGGCAATCACCGCGTGAGGCAGCAGATGATGACAGTGATTAGCTTGGGATCGGGGAAGCCAAGCCCTGGCCATCCCTGGGACACGTCGCCTTGGCCTTGGCCAACCTGCAGGTGCTCCTGGGAAGCCAGGCTGGAGCAGGGCTTCTGGGACAGGTGGAGGCATTGGGAGTGGGCAGGGTGGGCCAACCTGCAGCCAGGTACAGCAATGGTCATGGGCCAAAGTCAAGACTGAGAAGTGATATCCTTCATCTTAAACTCTGTTGTACCTCCTGACCCAGCCTCTGGCTCTGCTTCCTCCCCTTCCCACCCACCTCTGACCCACTGAGGCTGCTTTTAGACTGCCCATGCCTCTGGGCAGCAAAGGACCAGAAGCTCAGGTTCAAGTCCTGTCTTAAGCACCTGCTGACTGGGCTCACTTTGATGTCTCTGGGCAGTCAAGGTATCTGACCCTCCTAAGGCAGTCCATCTTTGACCTGGACTATCTTATTCCTCTCTTATTCTTAAACAGGTTTGTATTTACTTTCCCTAAAGCCCTTCTGCTCTCCGCCTACAACTGAGGTTGACTTGAGCAAACAGGTGGCTGCGGCACCCCTTCCAGAGAGGATAGGATGCTTGTGGTTAATGGAGACCTGGTAACAGTATGTAAAGGCTGAGGGAATGATAACTGGGATGAGGTCAGGGGTGGGGGTGGGGTGGAGAGATATGTTAGAAACATCTGCCTCCCTATCCCATAATAACAACATTGACCAGAACCACAAAAGCAACAAGAGCAGTTATCATCCACAACCTCTATCCCCACACCTTACATCCCGAGTCACAGCCACCTCAAAGAGCCCCCTAATATGGTCAAGTGACAGCATTTTTTCCTAAGATTTGTTTATTTGAGAGTGAGAAAGAGAGAGCATGCATGTGACTGGGGGGGAAGTGCAGAGGGAAGAGAATCTTCAAGCAAGAATCTTCAATCTTCCCCACTGAGTGTGGAGCCTGATAACGAAGCTTAATCTCACGACCCTGAGATCATGACCTCAGCCAAAACCAAAAGTTGGCCGCTCCACTGACTGAGCCGCCCAGGTGTCCCAAGGGTCAAAATTTCATCCATCAAGTGAAAAATACATATGTGTGTATGACAGTATGTGCCATGCCCTGTCCTGGGCATTGGGTAAAAGGGTGTGTCAGGCGGGCCGAGCTCTTGGGGAGTTTACGGTTGAGTCACAGCTGATAGTGCCACACATCTGAAGTCACCACACAGATCAGCGAATGCACAGAGTGAAGAGGGCATCTGGCAGGGGAGGGGCTGCTCTGGCTCAGGTAGTCCCAGAGGGTCCCTCCGAGGGGGTGACATTTGGGTTGAGATCGGAAGGGTTGAAGGAGCTGCAGAATCTAGATAGAGGGCACCTCAAGGGCAGATTCCTGGAAGTGGGACAGAGCCTGGCAAGTCAGAGGATCTGAAAGTGGCCTCTTGTGGCTGGGGAGAAACAAGCTCGGGCCAAGGGGGGCCGTACTGAGGGGCCTTGGCAGGTGGTGGAAAGGTGTTGAAGTTGTATTTTATTAGAGGGCTTCTAGCAGGGGGTGGAATGTTCTGATTCCTTTTTTTTTAATATTTTATTTATTTATTCATGAGAGACACAGAGAAAGAGGCAGAGACACAGGCAGAGGGAGAAGCAGGCTCCCCATGGGGAGCCTGATGCGGGACTTGATCCCAGAATTCCGGGATCACGACCTGAGCCCAAGGGAGATGCTCCACCGCCGAGCTACCCAGGCATCCCAAATGTTCTGGTTCCTGCTGTAAATAGACGGCACTGGCTGCCCATGAGGGATGGATGGCAGAGGGTTGGGTAGAAGCTGGGAAAACACCAGGAGTCTTGAGGCAGAGACCAGTGTCCCTTTCACTGGGGAGAAAAGAGTCTGGAGCCTCAGGCTTATGGAAAAATAAATAGTAAGATCCCAGCGCAGGTGCTGACACTTTCCTGAGGCCAGAAGCAGCCGACATGGAAGACGGACGAAGTATATAAAGCCTGGTAGGACGGGGCCCATCGTACTTGGATGTAACATGGTGATAAGGCCATGGTAGGCACCGTGCAGATGGCTCAGCACGGACTCCGGGGCCCACCCCAGAGTCACCTCCTGAAGCAGCCCCTCGAGTGGCACAAAGACCGCCCTCTGGGCAGACAGATCTTCACAGGTGACCTTTCTGCAGCAGTGGCATAGAGCAACGTCCTTGATTCGGCCCCGGCCTGGGCCCCTAGGCGTAAGGCCTCTGTGAGGTCCTGGACTGGGTCACTCGGTGAGCCAGTTTGGAAGAGAATTAAACCCCTCCCACAGAGTTTTTGGGTCAGAACAATGGCAGCTCACACTAGAATTCTGGTAGAATTTACCAGGCACGCTCTGGAGCCCTTCATGCACATTAGCACTTGTCTCACCTCAAACAATCCTGTGAGGGAGGTGCTGTGATCACCTCCGTGTCGCAGCAGAGGAAACTAAGGCACAAACTAAGTATCTCCTCCCAGGTCACAGAGAGAGAGAGAGAGAGAGAGAGAGAGCGCGCAGGGGTCCAGCCAGCATCCGGAGCCACGCTATCCGACCCCATCCTGCCCCTGAGAAAGCTTCCCCGAGGTGCCAAAGCCTGCAGACCCTCCAAGGCCTAAGCTCCACAGCAGCAGGTGACGGCAGCCCCAGCCTTCTCTTGCCCAGGACACCAACAGGACATTCGTGCTCAAAAAGCCCTAGAAAAGGAAGAAACTCAAAAGAGAGGAGAAAGCTGTGAATTCTGAGCAACCAGAGGGTGCAACAGGCCCAAACAACCAGCCCCGACGTGGTCAGGAGGGAGCCGGGCCTGCCATGGCTGGGCCGCAGCCTGGCTTCTCTGGGCAGGGGGAAGGCGGGTCCGAGGGAACCCCCTGGTGCTTCGCGGCTGGCACAGGAACAACCTAGCCCTTCTGTGGGAAACCCAAGGATAACAGAGATTGTCCCCCCCACACCCCCCCGTCGCCACAACAAACCTATACTTAAACGTGATTAAATACGCTCTCTGCAAAGGGAATACCCCACAGTTTAGCCAAACGTGGGGGCACCCTCTCTCCCCCTAGCCCTGGTACGGTGGTTTATGTGGCGTACTATGTTCTGAACGGGGACCAAGTCCGTTGGGCCAAGTTCCAAACTTTTTTTTTTTTCCTTTCTAGCAGCCTGGGCCTCCCTTATGCCAAGGAGGAGGCCAGACGTGGAGGCCTCATCGCCGAGCCACGCTTACCTCCAGGGGCATGGGTGGGCAAATGCTGGCCGTGGCCCCGGGTTCTTCTCCGCGTCTCTAACCTGCCCGTCAGACTTCTGGAGCCTCAGAAATACTCAGCCTCCCTTCTCCAGGGAGAGAAGCATCGGGAGGGACACAATCTTCCTTGGGGAGGGAAGAAGAGGATATCATGTATGGATGTCCCGCCTGTCCTTGTGTCAGGCAGTAAAAGGAGTTAGTGGATGACTGGGGAAAACCTGTCCCCTGCCCCGACCCCCAGTACAACTCAGGAGGAGCGACCAAGGTTTCCAAAGTGATCATTTTCCCTCTCCAGGGCAGTGGGAGGAAAGGCAACTTTCTTAATTGCACGGACACCCACTCACGTGCATTAATACCCGCGCGCGAGATGATCTGCGTGTGTGTGCGCCCGCGTGTGTGTTTGCACACCCTCACGCAGCTGCCCTTAGAACCCTGTAATTAGCACCCCGTCAAGGACCATCTGCCTATTAGAGAACAGCAGCCTAGATCCTGGGTGATGGACAAGCCAGAAAAACTTCATTTCCCTCGTTGTAAGAGAGATCTTTTAAGCTCTGGTTTGATCGCCTCACCAGATAGGCGAGCTCTGAACTGCTTTGGAGAAATGTGTTCCCTTTGCCCCACACCCTCCCCCCCACTCTCCCTCCCCACCCCTCCAGCAGCGATAAGGCATCTGTAAACACTCTCTGAAACCCTTTCTCCAGCCTTCTTGGGTCTGCCACTTTGAAGCAGGACTGCAGGAAGGCCTCCGACGAGATGAGACTGTCTCCCAAACTGATAAAGCGGTGTGAATCCAGCTCAAATCCACTCCCTAATAGGGATTAGTGAACCTGAGGTTTGTTTGGATGGAAGGCTGAGTTGAGAAATGCGAGGTTTGGGTTTAATCAAAAGGAATCCAAACACCAGTCTCTCACCTGCACCCCCATCCCATAGACCGGGGGTGCCCAGCCCGCAGTGGGACTGCCCACACCTCCCGACTTGGAAAGTCCTTCCATCTTTTATGACTGTTCCTCTCTGGTGTGGTTGTCAGGCTTCCTCAGGTGCATGGACCACCCAAAGGGCTTGCTAAATGCAGATTCTGGGATTTTGTCACCACAGAGGCTTATTTGTGGAGGCAAATAAGTAAGACCCCAAGGGCTTCTAATGCAGGCGATCAAGACCAGACTCCTAAAAGTAGTTCTAGACCAGCTGACAACAGCAAACACCGTCGATGCAGGCTGTGGGCTGGTGGAAATACTGAACGGCTGGGGTAATGGGCTCCTAGACAGCCCCTCAGTCCTCTGAGTGCCACCTGCTGCCCCCATGGCCCTTCCCCTCCCCCAGGACCTCCTGGACTCTTCCACAGTTCAGACACTACAGAGTTAACGCCTGACCCGGCAGAAGGTCTCTGAGACCCTACACCTGCTTCTGAGGCCCGGTGTCCGCCCTGACTGGCCAGTCTTATCAGTGCTAAGCAACTTCACTATCTCCCTCCACACAGGGATTGTCTGGTGGGAGCATCTCCAGCTCGTGCTGTGCGGCGCCCATCCACTGATTGACCCCATTAGGGACATCACTAGCCATGCCCTCCTGCTGGTAGCATCTTCTTCCCCTTCCTGGTTTTCCTTCCATCTGCTCCTTCCTTGGTGCCTCCTGTCCATGTTGTCTCCTTCTCCTGTCCAGCCCTGAGTGATGACCTAAGGGCCTGTGGTCGCTGGTGTGTGGTTACTTCTCTCCGCAACTCCAGGCATGTTGCATTGTCAACTGACATCTCCCCATGGATGTAGGAGGAACACCTCAAACTTTACAAAGACAAAATAGAGCCCCTAAGTCCCTACAGAGTCCCCAGCCTATCCTAGCTCCATAGGTGGCCCTCTCTAAACTAACTTGCTCAAGCCCAAAGTCTAGGAGATTATCCCTGATTCTTATTTTCCTCATCACTTACATTCAATCCATTGGTTCTGCCAACCTGTCCAGGATCCACCTGCTTCTCTCCATCTTTTCCACCACCACCACCACCACCACCACCACAGTCTACTGCCATTGCCCACCTACCATACTAACTTCTCCTCTCTCACTTTTGCCCCTTATAATCCATTCTCTTCTCTGGCCAGGTGGTCTTATTAAAACAATCAGAGCATGTAGTTACCTTGCTTAAAGCTTTCCAGGGGCCTCCTCTTGTGTTTAGAAAGAGACCCAAATTCCCTGTCAGGGCATCCAAAATGCCTGCTGCTGATACCTTGACCTCACTTCATGCCACTCTCCCTCTGGGCCACGAGAGACCAGCCCCTGGCCTTCTTTCTCTTCCTTGGAACATCTCAAGCTTATTCCTGCTTCAGGACCTTTGCACTAGATTAGCTGTTGACCTGGAAAGTTATTTCCCGGTGGCTGGTTTCTTCTTGTTCTGATCTCAGCTTCAACGGACCTTTACTGACCTTGCAAACTAAAGTAGCTACCCAGCCCCCTCCATCACCCAATCAGAATTCTCTGCATGGCGCTGACTACTAGCAGATGGTGTAATTGTTTACTGGTTCACTCGGTTGTTTGTTGACTGTCTGCCCAGCTCCCTAATGAGGATGTTGTGCTTTGGGAATTTGTATCTGCCCCCTACCCCACTCTTTTTTTTTTTCAAGCAAATTGGCTTCGTCTTCCTTTTTATTGAATATTGTCACTTTTTACTATAGCCTGTACTCCCAGCTCTGCCCTACTGTTGATATGTTCTGAGCCAGGGCAGGGGTAGTCATGCTTGTTAGCATTGTGTACAAAGTAAAAGTTAATACTTCTGAGCAAGGCAGAGATTCTCTAAAAGTGAAAAGATGCCTGTGATCTAACGTGATGCCTTGTAGATCCTCAGTTGTGGATTAACTACAACCAAATTATTTGGAGGGGAGGTCGTCTGAATGGCACAGATGCCTGTGACTTCTTCCCTGGGGGACCTGTTTCTTGGGTGCAGAGTGGCCACTGGGAATTTCTCTTTGTCAAGAAGCAGCCCATGGTGTCCCCACACGTTGCAAATTTGGTAACCGCGAACCTAGCGCCTAGACTTGGGGCCACCCAGTCCAGACCTGCAGAAAGAGACCTCCACTGTCTGCCTCTAGGGCAGGACATCCCAACCTCATCACCATTGACACTGTGGGATGGCTAATTCTTTGCTGTGAGAGGCTGATCCTTCCACCCCGCGACATCTAGCACCATCTCTGGCCTCAACCCCTTAGGTGCCATGACACCTCTCTTCCAGCTGTGATGACCAAAAATGTCTTCAGAGATGGCTCAGTTTTCCCAGGGGCGGGTGTGTGTGTGTGTGTGTTGCAAAACCACCCCTGGTGGAGAACCCTTGATCTAGGGTTTGAGCTATGCTCCAGCTAGCTGATAGGAGACCTCTGTGTTCAATGATCTAGAAGATTCAGTCACCCAAAACATACAACAACATATGTGGTCACTCACAGGGCCAACTTCTGGTCTTGCTAAACGATTGTGGAAACCGGTGCGTGCATGTGTGCCAGCTAATTGTGTACGTGGAAGTCAAGAACGGCTTTTAACTAATCAAAAAGAGATATCCTGCTCAAAGCTTATTTGAAGACTGCCATGTTTTAAAACTCAACATGACTTAAAACAGAATCCTATAAGTTCCTTTGCTAAAATACTTTCAGGATATATTAGGTATAACAATAGTTTGCTACATGAAAATGGCTTTGAAAATCTTAAAAGTGTTTTAAAAGAAAAGGGAGGGTTTTTTTTTTTGGCAAGGCATTAAATTGGATGTGAATATGACAGATTTCAAAGACTGTCAAAATAACGAATTTACATCATAAATGCATCGGCTTTCTTTTTAAAGGCTTTTCCCCCACTCAGGAAGGCATTTAATGGTGAGCAGGTTCAAAATGTCGCCAACTCCCACTGGTACAAAAGGGAGGCGGTCCCCACCAGAGTCCCCGGGCTTCAGATAATGTCTCTGACTGTTTTCAAGTTAATAAACTGCACTCCTGTCAAATTGCAGATAAATGAAAGAGACAGCACCATTGTTTTCTCCCGCATCTTGCTCAGAAAGATATCTCCCAATATTTCGGGAGGACCAGTATGCCAAAAAATAAACTTGAAATAAAACCATCCCGCCGTGACTTTCTTGGATCAAAGACAATGGAATCTCCACAGAAGCACTTTTCTGAAGTTTGTAGTTCAGATAGCGGCTCATTAAGGAGCTTCTAATGCATTTGATTGTTTCAAAGTTAGCCATCTAAATTTTTAATCATGTGTAGGTGCAAGATAGTCACGGGGTTGCCCCCAAACACTGCAAAGCCTTTATATTCTAAAGAGTCATGTCAATATAATTTTTTTCCCCTGAATAATCAGCAGGTAGGCTTGGGGAGGGGGTGGCTTCAAACAGCTCTGCTCTTTGATGGAGGGATGGACAGGTTTCTGAAGTTGCCTTTTGAAAGAGAAATAAGTCTGAGCGTTTTGAAATCTGGATTTCTTTCCTTTTGAGGGAGTGAGGCTGCCACTCCCTTTTTTCCTCTCTTTTCCCTCTTTTCCACAGAAACAGACTGCTATTAATAATAAGAGGGGACAATAGGACTTAACTGGGAGCCCAGTCTCTTCAACTGGGTCTCTCAGACAAGAAGCACACTCATTTGTTGGCGTGCTCGGGTTAGATTTTTTTCCGATACTAACCACAGAGCGGTTTTTGTTGTTCACTCCGCTTTGGGGACAATCTGTTTTTCTTTCTCAAGAACCTTAATATTTGATTGGGAACATGGAAGTCCAGGGGAAGCTGGCTGCACATAGTTCTTTTTAAAAGACAAAAACAAAAGCATTTGATTTTTTTAAAGTATTCTCTACATCCAACATGGGGTTCAAACCCATGACCCCAAGATCAAGAGTCCCATGCTCTTCTAAGTGAGCCAGCCAGGCACCCACACACACAGTTCAGTAGCTCTTCTGTGGTCCCAGGGTATCAGCTGCTTCTTGCTGTTGGGAGTGGAGCTGAACTTGCATGGTCGGAAGATACAGGATAGAAAGGGGCTTGGCAGGACCTTGCTGCCACCATCTTAGGGAAGATGAGGCATAGTTCATCTGGACTGGAAGGATCTTGGGAGGCCACGAGAACCATCTTTTGGCCTTGAGATAGCTCTTAATCCATTCATTATTTATTGAGCATTTTCTCTGTGCCAGGCTCTGTTCTGAATGCTTCCCTTGGATAAGCATATTTGATCGTCACAACAATCCTGAGTGGTGATTCTTTTCTTTTTTTTTTTTAACATTTTTATTTTTATTTTTCTATTTATTTTTATTGGAGTTCAATTTGCCAACATATAGCATAACACCCAGTGCTCATCCCATCAAGTGCCCCCCTCAGTGCCCGTCACCCAGTCACCCCCACCCCTCGCCCACCTCCCTTTTAACCACCCCTAGTTCGTTTCCCAGAGTTAGGACTCTCTCATGTTCTGTCTCCCTTTATGATATTTCCCACTCATTTTTTTCTCCTTTCCCCTTTATTCCCTTTCACTATTTTTTATATTCCCCAAATGAATGAGACCATATAATGTTTGTCCTTCTCCGACTGACTTATTTCACTCAGCTTAATACCCTCCAGTTCCATCCACGTCAAAGCAAATGGTGGGTATTTGTCGTTTCTAATGGCTGAGAAATATTCCATTGTATACATAAACCACATCTTCTTTATCCATTCATCTTTCGATGGACACCGAGTCTCCTTCCACAGTTTGGCTGTTGTGGACATTGCTGCTATAAACATCGGGGTGCAGATGTCTTGGTGTTTCACTGCAACTGTATCTTTGGGGTAAATCCCCAGCAGTGCAATTCCTGGGTCGTAGGGTAGATCTATTTTTAACTCTTTGAGGAACCTCCACACAGTTTTCCAGAGTGGATGCACCGGTTCACATTCCCACCAACAGTGCAAGAGGGTTCCCCTTTCTCCACATCCTCTCCAACATTTGTTGTTTCCTGCCTTGTTAATTTTCCCCATTCTCACTGGTGTGAGGTGGTATCTCAGGTCAATGCTACCCAGGGCAATTTACACATTTAATGCAATCCCTATCAAAATACTACGGACTTCCTTCAGAGAGTTGGAACAAATTATCTTAAGATTTGTGTGTAATCAGAAAAGACCCCGAATAGCCAGGGGAACATTAAAAAAGAAAACCATATCTGGGGGCATCACAATGCCAGATTTCAGGTTGTACTACAAAGCTGTGGTCATCAAGACAGTGTGGTACTGGCACACAAACAGACACATAGATCAATGGAACAGAATAGAGAATCCAGAAGTGGACCCTCAACTTTATGGTCAACTAATATTCAACAAAGGAGGAAAGGCTATCCACTGGAAAAAAGACAGTCTCTTCAATAAATGGTGCTGGGAAAATTGGACATCCACATGCAGAAGAATGAAACTGGACCACTCTCTTGCACCATACACAAAGATAAACTCAAAATGGATGAAAGATCTAAATGTGAGACAAGAATCCATCAAAATCCTAGAGAACACAGGCAACACCCTTTATGAACTTGGCCACAGTAACTTCTTGCAAGATACGTCCATGAAGGCAAGAGAAACCGAAGCAAAAGTGAGCTATTGGGACTTCATCAGGATAAAAAGCTTCTGCACAGCAAAAGAAACAGTCAACAAAACTAAAGACAACCTACAGAATGGGAGAAGATATTAGCAAATGACCTGTCAGATAAAGGGCTAGTATCCAAGATCTATAAAGAACTTATTAAACTCAACAGCAAAGAAACAAACAATCCAATCATGAAATGGGCAAAAGACATGAACAGAAATTTCACAGAGGAAGACATACACATGGCCAACAAGCACATGAGAAAATGCTCCACATCACTTGCCATCAGGGAAATACAAATCAAAACCACAATGAGATACCACCTCACACCAGTGATTCTTTTCTTATCCTCATTTCGCAGGTAAAGACTCTGAGACGCAGGGCTAGTGGGCTGCAGAGCCAGGACTCGAACCTAGGCACTCAAGCTCCAGAGCCCATACTATTAGTATGTTCCTTGTAGCACTATTTCTGTATTTTTTAAAAGATTTTATTTATTTGAGATAGGGAGAGAGAGCGCGAGCACAAGCCGAGTGAGAGAGGACAGAGGCAGAGGGAGAAGCGGACTCCCTGCTGAGCAGGGAGCCTGATGCGGGGCTCCATCCCATGATCCCGGGATCATGACCAGAGCAGAAGGCAGATGCTTAACCGAGTGAGCCACCCAGGTGCCCTTGTAGCACTATTTATAAGGTGAAAAATTTGAAATGACCTAAGTGTCCAGAATAAATAAATAAATAAATAAATACCACCAGAAACATCTTTAAATAATTTGCAGCAGAGCCACATCAAGA